AAAAGAAATCGTGGAACATGCACAAATGTAATAAATTTAAAATGTATACCATTCGTTTGAAAAGCATACGACAATTTTTGCGGTTGAATAAGAAAGAGCACATCTACAGCTGTCATGATGTTAGAAGGTTTGATTAAAATTCATCAGCCTGAGAAAAGAGTGGTGTTTGGACCCTTATACCTCGGTTAGCAGTACTGAAGCTTAATGATCTTAGATTACCCCACCTCCCAAAAACAAACGCACCGATTATTAGCAAAAACGTTATTTTGACCAACTCTCAGCCACCATTTCAACAGCTTCCACCAGACAATATCTTATTGGTTACACAGTTACATTATCCTTTTAAAAAGTATTATGTGGTGTGCAATAAGTTCGGCCAAGGCCCCTACTTATAACCAAGATGTTTCACAATATCTATTCACACCTTCCATCTTTTTAAGCTTGTCTTTTACGTTATCTTCGTCTTTCTTCCACTCCTTTAGCAGCTCTCGGTAATGTGTCTCCATGTCTGGATCTATAGTCTCAGTCTTAAGTTTTGTGATAGCAGCTGCATCTACACCCAGTACAACCAACGCGGCACTTACATCCTGCCAAAAGGAATTAAACGTAGGATCGTCCACAAACGCCTGGCTTGCATGCCCATAAACAGAGTTTCTATAGTGCTTCACTCTGGCTATGTTAGCCTCAACACTCGTGTCTGAAGCAGGTGGCAGACTGTCCCAGCCTGTGGCAGGAGCAGCCAGACCGCAGACGTTCCTCAGAAGCACCATGAGTAGCGTGATGTCAAAGTATTCTGATGTTACAGATGAAGGTGGAGAGGGATACAGCTTACCCCATTGTGTAGAATTGATGATTCTCTTTTTCTTAAGGGACTGCAGAGTTGAATGTTCTGCAGAACCAGCTTTCAATACATTAAACAGGTTTGCTGGGGGGTGGAATTTGTCAAAAGTATATCTTAAGGCCTTGGTACCTCCATCCACTAAAAGGCGACATAATCTTGCGTAATTAGTGGTCTCCTTGGTGGATGGAGCTAATGTTAGAGCAGAAGCCATCACAGTAGACCTGCAAGACATAATTTACACCCTTATAGTTATATGCCCTATTCCCACTAGTGCCTTAAGTTGGCATTTGTTCTCAGTTTGTAAAATCCTCACACATTAACAAACAACCATTTAAAAGTTTTTTTGAACAAGGGCTTTATATGAATTGTGACAATAAACTACTGGTACTAAGTATCTACGTAAATTACGCAAGCTTGCTAACGAGTTCTAAATACAATATTTGTTCTTTATATCACTTACCCCTGACCCTCACAGTATCACTGCTGGGAACCGTTTTTTAGAGAACCGCTGATCAGACCACTGGTCCTCAGATTTTAAATTGAAAATAATATTGAAAAGATATCACCAAGTGGAAAGGAATGTTGTTTGCATGAACATTAAAACAAACAAACAAACAAAATGAATCGCGGCTTTCTACTTATCACGAAACCTTAAACATTTGCTGGTGAATTAAGGCTTTCCGCTATTAAATCACCAACGCCAATTTTTTCCGAACTAAGAAACCTTGCTCTCAAATTCACGGACAAACGTCTTGGGACACAATTATTTGCACATGTATGGGGCTTTCATTAAATCGCACATTCCCAACCCCACAAACAAGGTTTGCTTAACCTTGTATCCAGAATTTTCCCGAGTTTCAATTCAGTTGTATGGGGGTGGGGGGGGGGGGGGGGGGGGGAAAAAATAAGAAGTTTTCAGTTTGTTTTACTTGTTTTTTTTTTTTTTTTTGTGGGGCCACGTGAGAATGTAGAAGAAGTTGAGCACTAGTGATCGTATCTCAACATGATGTGTTGTCGTGATTGTAGTAAAAAGGGGGGGGGGGGGGGGGGGGGGGGTGGAGAGAAATGCCAGATATTTTCACTGTTTTATCACTGTTTTTTCACTGTTTTATCTGGGCACCCAGGAAAATGTCGGAAAATTACGAATACTGCATCACTATCCCAAGAACGTTTGTTCAGGATTTGAGCTAAAAATGAGTAGAATTCGGACCAAGTTGACCTCTATGAATTCTCGATCTATCAGTAATATGGGTAAACATTAAACTCTAAGGCGAGCGGTGTGCGCAAACTGACAAAACCACACGGTTGCGCATGACTTTGTGAAAGTCGAAGGAGTAATTGCTTAACGATCGTTAACTAGTACATAAGTGCACAGCATTTCCAGTAATGTATAATTTATATGGAAGCAGACCACTTCCTTATCCTAGTAAACTGAGAATTATCTGTGCATGGCGGTTAAAATTGAAGGGGTGACCCCAAAACACTGATCCCCCGTCCATGGAGCCCCCCTACGGACTGGTCCACGGACCACTGTACGGACCAGTTCACGGACCCACCCCTCCCCCCCAAGGACACCCTTTACGGACCCCCCATAAAAAGACGATAAGAAAAATGACAATTAGAGATTTAACTCACTGTTTGTTTTGTTTTGTTTTTTTGTTATTGTTGCCTCCTTCACTGTGGCGATGAAAGGAGGACCTGCGTACTTCGAAAAAGACCGATAACTTAGCTAACCTGTGTATTCGCTGCCGCCCCCGATTGCCTCCACCATTTTGTTCGGCTCATTCCTCCTCGTATTCAGTGACTCGTCCCAGACTTCAAAAATACGACACGGTGTCTCCCGTTGTTTTCATGTTTTTCATTGAGCAAACACACGGATTTTTCTTTCCCTACAAAAAAAGATTCCTTAAAAAATTTCAACTCCAGGAGGACTCACCCATTTTTCATTTTTCTTAATTATTAGGAACGCAAGGTTGGTTTTTGAATGACATTGTCGTTGCCGTTGCCGTCCTGTATCTTGAATTAAATTAAATGGAGTTAAAGCTCGTTCGGCGAAAAAGAGATGCAATGTACTTAATACGGCAAAAAATTGTTACCTTCTTTATTTTTAAGCTTTTTCATACTCTGTCCAACTCAATGCTCTAATAGTGATGTCCACTTTACAGTTGGCTACGTATTTGCCAAGCCTTTGAATAAGAGTGAGGCTGAGGGGGACCTGGTTATACGAAAGTTGTTGCCTTTGATGTGTGGATTATTCTGTCTGTGGTATTTTCCCTCCCGATCAATCATAACAAAGTCGTCCTGCTGAACGATTTGGCAACTAAACACATAACTGTCAAATAAACTGAAGTTGCATCGCTATCTGTAATGGACATCAGTATCTCTCTTTGTGGAGGGCGCACTATTTTGTGAAGCCTGGGACGAGTCAATGAACACGCGGGGGAATGAGCCGAACATAATGGCGGAGGCAGTCGGTCTTTTTCGAGGTACGCAGGTCCTCCTTTCATCGCCACAGTGAAGGAGGCAACAATAACAAAAAACAAAACAAAACAAACGGTAAGTCAAATCTCTAATTGTTATTTTTGTCTTTTTATGGGGGGTCCGTACAGTGGTCCGTGGACCAGGTCCGGGGGGGGGGCCCATGGACCGGGGATCAGTGATTTCGGGTCACCCAAATTGAAGTAAACAAAAAACGAACAAAACAGAGTTAAATTGGCCATAAGTAGGCGATGTCGGCTGAGCGTGATTCAAAACGAACATCTTATATATATTCCCGTAAATTTTCCTTATTTGCAAGACTTTTAAAAAGTAAATCACGTATAGAGGTGCTGTACTAGAAACATTTATTAGAACGGAAACATAAGTCCGTCCTTCTATACCGTTAAAAGCAATTTAGAAGTGTAAATTTGTAGCTTGATTTTTCTTTTCCTTTTCAGAATAATTTGGTTCACGTCAACTAAAAGGTCCGACGGCAAAAAACAGACGGCTATATAAGGCGGTTTTGAACAAAAAGAGATTTACTCCAAATAATATATGCTGTCAAGAATCGATGATACAGTTGCATTACAAATCAAACTTCCTGTTTCACCTTATTTTGGTATGCAAATTTCAACTTTCATTTTCAATTTCAATTTCATTTCCCTGATGCTCAGTTCTCTTCAAGATTCGGGTCACCCCAAGATTCTCTTCACGGAGAAACAATTAAACTGACAAACATTTCAATTTTTATTAATTCTCAACGAAATATAGTCAAGTTAGGAACCACAAGAAATACAACTAAAGCATGTCTGGTTATCGATGCGGGAACATTGTCATTTGCATTTACAAAGGAGATCAGTGATGGTGTAAATCTAGAAATAAACCTAAACATTGTCATCAATATGATTTCTTAAAACGAATAAAAGGTACCTACTAAAAGTCGTGCAGCCTCAAGAAGGTTCAAGAAAAGAAACCAGTGATGACAAAGAAACGAATTTCTTCTAAACACGAATCGATCGCTTTTCTGGAAAACACGAAACAACATGCCTTCATGTGCTCGAACACTCGCCAACAGCAGCTGTTTAAAGGCTAACAACTGATCAATATACTGAGAAGAAGTATTTTAAGATCGCTTTTAACAGCCAGTTGTTAAATCTCCTAACTTAGGAGAAACTATACCATTCTATGATCCGAACCTAAAATATGCTAAGACGTCAAAATTCTCGTTCAGCTTACCTTCTCCACGTTAAAGACTTTTCGTCGCTTACCTGAATTATTTGGCAGCTTCAGGGTCGTTTAGGTGACTCCAAATAAAAATCGATTCATCCCTGAAAGGCGTTAGTCAGACCACCAGAGAGTTCGTGTTCCTTTGAAGATTTCTCCTGAAACAAACATGGTAATGTACAATGTTCGTGATAGAGGCGAGAAAATCAGTCTAGACAGACCGTACAGTCACGCGAAAACAATTGCCTAATACCTGTGTATTGATCTCTGAAGAAAATGCCCTAAATGAACGAATCTACGAAACTAAGACGAAGGTTCCCAGCGCCATTTTAGTTTCCGCCTCAGACGGAAGAATGAGGCGTATCATCGTAGAAAGATCTCGAGTTCGGATGCCAACAATTAAACGCGAGTAGCGTGACCAAAGTAACACTCATTTCCATGGTATATACCATTTCCATACTCTAGAATGACGTTGATACATTAATGATTCATACACAAAGTAATTCTCTACAAAGGACTATCAATATTGATTAGGGTGAAGCCCTGAGAATAGCGATTAGGGTTAAGTCCTGAAAATAGTGATTAGGGTTAAGCACTAACTCGAAAAACGGTTTGCTGGTTAGCTTCTATTTAGGGTTAGGGTTGTTGTTATATAGCTTCAAATCAAACCCTTAATCGTCAGCAAATCCTCGGTGATGTAGTGATTTAGGTGATGGACTGCAGATCCTTAAAAATTGAAGAGACTTAGACTTTCATGAACATTTTATCAAGCAGCAATTTCAAGAGACATAGAAACTTCATGTAAGAATAGTAAAATGTCTTGTGAGAGGTACTGTACTGGTCGTACTGAGAAGAAAATGTTATTCTGGAGTATGGAAATGAGTGTTAATTTAGACACACGATGTAGAAAGTCACGGGATGCAAAACGGCTATTTTAATTTGAAACGTGCCGACTAATTCTGGGCAACTCATAAAGTAGCGATAGATAAATAATGAATGGCGTAGATGTCCAGGACTTTTAAACTGTTATTTGTATGTTGCAGCTTGGAGCCCATGACTTAAACCCAGTCCGCCCTACACTCGCGTTCCTTTTCTTTAGGAAACGAAAATTTTCTTACCAAGGCAAAACTGATTCGCGTCCACGTATCGCTTTTGAATCATTTTCACCCGACTAAACTTATCCCATTCTGTTTAAATAACAGAGACACGTTTTTACTCAGATTGGCCTTCAGATCATTTTACAGTTCTCCCCGCGTACCGATCAAGGTTTGATCGATATTAAGCACTACAAGTCCAACTTAGTACCCCGGGGAAGGGTACTCCCTATATTATGGCCTATATCGGAGGCTCCGCCCGAAAGTGGTACCTTTTTTAAGGCTTTATGTATATGAAAGGACAGGGATTTCTCTAGTTGAAGTATATATGAAAGGGTAGGGAAATCTGTCATTTTGGTCTGAAAAATGACCTAAAAGGGCAACAGAAGGATTTTATGGCGAGAAAATGTTCTGTTTTTATTTAATTTATTTATTTATTACTAGTTTAAAGACAGTGTATTTATAGCAGTGAAAAGGGAAGCAAAGTTCTTAACTATTGTATGTATTTGAAGATGGTACCATTTGTCAGTGGAAGGTATTCTTGGTTGGAAACCACGTGACGAGGCGGCAATATTGGGGGTCAAAACAATAAAATATGATTCTCTAAGAATTTTCATCAAAATGGAGTTAACTTTCCAGAGGACAGAAATGCTTTTGTTCATGACCACTAACATGGCTGTCGTGACGTCCCGTGCAAACCAGGAATACGAAAGAGTACTATTTCTCTCAAAAATGTAGCCTGTGTACAGACCCCCCATCCCCCCAGGAAAAATCGAAGAAGGGGCGTCTGTGATTCACCTTTGCTAATTATATAATCGTGTATGGGGGCCACGTGATTATTCCCGGAATGTGTGGAAAAGGATTTGATTGGCTGTTACTCGTAGATCACCCATCATCATGTAAATAAGGGATTTGGGTTGGCTTTAGGGTCTGTCGTCAAAACATACCAGTCAAATCATCACATTCACGGACAAATACACACAGTAGCTTTTCAGATCCAGGGATTTCAAAGAAAAGAGAAAGCAAACTTTAGTGAAAGGTTCTTTCTTCTCCGATTTTTCCTGAGGGGAGGAGGGGGGGGGGGTCTGTACACAGGCTATCAAAAATGG